GAGAGAAGGAGGGAGAGAGAGAGAGAAACATTGATATGAGAGAGAAACATTGACTGGTTGCCCCTGACCCGACCCCAACTGGGGCTGGGGACAAACTGCAACCGAGGTATATGCCCTTAGTGGGAACCGAACCCGGGACTCCCTGGGCCAGGGGCCTATGCTCTAACTGCTGAGCCAAACCGGTCAGGGCTCACAGATACCATATCTTACCTAGACTGTAAGTGAACTCTTCATGGTTGTAGAAAACCTAACAGCCCTATCCCTTATTAAGTACCTACATTATTCTGACTCTTTATGGGCACAATCTCATATAATCTGTGAATAAACCTACAGAGCAGGCATTTTTGTCCTCATTTTATAAGAGCCTGAGGCTCAGGGAGATTGAATAACTTCCTCAAAGCCAACAACATCTGGGTCGCTTACAGTTTGAGTCTTTCCATCATGCCTCATCGTTTTTTGATTGGAGTCATGAAAGTTGTTTAAAAATAAATTCTCAATTAAAAATATGAGAATCATTCTCAGCGGTTCCAGTTCGTTTAAAAATGCTAACCACCTCTCGTTTTGAGATGTCATCTTTATTGTGTTTACCAGCTCATGGCACAAGTATGCCAGTGTTCGGACGGCTCTGGCAGTGGCCTGCCTGCTTCTCACTCCAGTGGCGACTGCAGCCCACGTGCAGAGAACGTGAAGCCACCAGCTGTGAGCCCGGCACGAACGCAATCATTTACGTTTGAGTCCAGCCCTTACATTGTGCTTTTTATTTATATTCTCAGCTATCACTTTTGCATGCTTTTATACGCTCTTGTTAAAAAGTAATACATAGATTTAACACAGACAGGCTTAGTGACAGTAAGAGGGCTGGATTTAGTGGTTTCTAGGGGGGAATTATTTGGGATAACTAATTGAAACCAAAGTGCATTACCATTCCTTGCCTGCAACAATAAACACTGGGTCTTCAAAGGCTGACCAAGTTTCCAGTGATTCCCAACAATAGCAGTTGTCATTTTCAAATGATGGTCCTTTTGAAACGCCAAGTGGAGTGAAGAAAAAGTGTGTGCTATTGCTGATTAGACAGGAATATGACTTGCAGAGGCCTATGTTACTCTCTTGTCTGCAAATTTTCTGCCCTGATTAATTACAATGAGTGCCAGAGTGTGTTGACGTTAGTTAAAAGCATTTGCTCTTTCTAGCCTGTCGTTATACCAGAATTAAGGATTTCTGTGTCGAGGTGAGGTCAGAAGGGTTCAGATCTGTTTTCCACTGATAAATCTTTCTGTCCCATAAGGATTAAAGGAACCCAGGGCTTTCATATGTAAAACTAATACACGATCGCCTGTGTGTACATGTCCCCATGATCAAAGAGCTCTTGGCCAAGTGGGAATGCCTCAAAGAGATAATAAGTAATTTGTTCACTGCAAACATTGCAATTATCTATCCCTCTACAAAGTACTGAGAATAAATTCTCTAATCAGAGTTAATTAGCATCCTTGTTGATTTGGGTTTAGCTGACTAGTTCTCTTAAAGGCACATGGACAGGAAAAAGTACATGCCTTTTCTGAGCCAACTTCTTCAACTCCTTCCAAGTGACTTGGAGTAACTGTCCACCAATTAGCTCAACCCGTTTACTGCAATTTCACGAAAACGAAATTCACCGAGATATCTCCCTCTATATTCATTTACTCTTCCCCGCTTTGATTTGTTGACTGTGCCAATGTAGCCTTTTTGAGGGCGTAATGTCCTCAAATTCACAAAACAACATGGGATCCCAGACAGAGGGGTGAGTGTAGGTGCTCCGAGAGCCAAAAGAGAAGAGAGGGGATGGAAATGACCTCTCTCGGGAGGTGACGTCCAGGTTGATTTGGAAGAATGAGGAGGACTTTGGTAGGCTTGTATGAGAAACAGGGGCATTTCAAGAAACATATACAACAAAGCCACGTGAAATGATAACAGCAATACACATTTCTTCAGAGCTCCGTGCCGGAAGCTGTGTAGACTCTAATTCATCGCATCTTCACCGAAATTGCTATGGAGCAGATTCTATTAGTAACCCTTTGCACAGATGAGGAAATAAAGGGAGAAATGAAATAACTGAAACCAGCCACAGAGCTGGTAAGGAGTAAGTCGAGATTTGAACCCGGGCCATCTGACTCCTGGGGCTGTATGTTATACCAACTAGGCATGTGCGTGCATGTACACACACACACACACACACACACACAGGAAAAATCATTTATTTTCTTCAAAGGAGTGCTGATGTGTTGGGGTCAGTGAGGCACAGATACATCTACTTTTTCCTGCACTTAATACACTCTCTGCATCAAAGAGTTCTACAGAGAAAAGGAAACAGTCACCAAGATCTGTTACCGAGGAACATCAGGGAGGTTCTTTATGGGGCAAGGGCTTGAGTCTGAAGAATGTCAACTGACCACCCAATGCTTCACTTTGTTTTACAAGCGAGAAACAATCTATGGATGAAGTGCTTCATGCGGGGCCTGATGTATGTGAGGTGTCTGACTTAGGGGCCGTGCCGCCCTCCCCTCGAATCCAGCCTCCTGCACCCAGTCTTCTGAAGCCCCCCTGTTTGAGCTGATCCTTCTCTTCTTTTGTTCTATCCTGAGACGTGGAGGGAAAAGGGGGTCAGATGCATTTTTTCACGTAATTGCACTAATAGTGATGAACAGTTAGAGTTGACTGTTCTCTGCTCTCTCCCTCATATAGAAATCCTGGGGTTAAGAATACATTTTACTCAGGTTTGCCTTTACATTAGTGTCTAGTTCAGAGTCACGTTCTCACTGCAATGGTCCAGTGTCTGAGAAGTAGCTATGATTACACTAGTCATCTGTTCTTCATGCTCTTTTCTTCTTTCATTCTTCCAAGCACCCTCTAAACTATGCACTATTACCTCTATTTAATGGATGATAAAACTGATGCCTATATAGTGGATGTGACTTGTTCACACTCATATACTCCTAGTAACTAAAAGAAAGAGAGCCCTGGCCAGTTTGGCTCAGCAGTTAAAGTGTTGGCCCATGGAGTGAAGGGTCTCGGATTCAATTCCCAGTCAAGGGCATGCACCTGGGTTGCAGGTTTGATTTCCCAGCCCTGGTTGGGGTCATGTGGGAGGCAACCAATCGATGTGTCTCTCTCACATCAATGTTTCTCTCTCTCTCCCTCAGTCCCTTCCAGTCTATCTAAAAATCAATGGAAAAATATCCTCGGGTGGGGATTAACAAAAAATAAAAATAAATAAATGAAAGAAAGACAAGTTTTGTACCCAGACTTTTTAAAAAACTGAATTCACAATGTTAACCATTCCTTCTTGGTAAATTCTCCATCAGTCTTAAGAGAATTGAGAAATAAAAGTTCCCTTCCTTTTCCCCTTCTTTTTAAGAGAATAGGAGTGTAGACTGAGTTTGGAGGAAGAAAATCCTGGTGTCTAACCACGTAGGCTAAACTCAAGCTGCATGACATTTGACTACTTTAATCACCAATTTCCTCATCTAGAAAATAGAAACAATTTCTTCCTCACAAATGTAGATGAAAAGTAAGGGAGACAGTGGCCAGTGTGGCTCAGTGGTGGAGTGTTGACCCTGCACCAAGAGGTCACCGGTTGGATTCCGGTCAGGGCACATGCCCAGGTTGTGGGCCTGATCCCCAGTGGGGGGCATGCAGGAGGCAGCCAATCAATGTTCTCATCGATGTTTCTATCTCTCTCTCCCTCTCCCTTCCTCTCTCTTTAAAATCAATAAAGGGAAAAAAAAAAAAGTAAGGGAGATGGTGTATGTTAACATGCTATTTATTCATTCATTTATTTATTTTATTTTTTATCCTCACCTGAGGACATTTTTGCATTTATCTTCAGACAGAACAGGAGGGAGAGAGGGAGGAAGAGAGAGAGAAAAACATCGATGTGAGAAAGACACATCGAGTGGTTGCCACCCACACAAACCCAACCAGGGCCGGGGACAAACTGCAACCAAGGTACATGCCCTTAGCAGGAACCAAACCCTGGTCTCTGGTCTGTGGGCCAATGTTCTAACCACTGACCCAAATCGGCCAGGGCTGTTAACATGCTTTTTAAATCACCCAAGTGATTTTATTATCCTTGTAGAAAAAAAGAAAAGAAAAGAAGAAGGAGACAGAGACAGAAATTCTAAAGCCTGCTTGAGGTAAAGTAACCATATTTCTTCCTTGGTTTCTTCATCTGGAAAGTTAGTGGTTTGGACTAGATTGTTTTCAAATTTCTTATCCAGCAGGGGAAGTCCTTTTGCAAGTAAAAGTCCCAACATAGGGCAAGGATCAGTCCAGTATCTATGCCTGAGCACGAAACCTCTCCAATACCCATGACTCTGAGGGTCAGGGCTGGGAAACCTTTCGGCTCAGCAACTGGTGACATCCAGTGGTCCTGTGTTTGAGGCTATCCACATAGAACAACAGCAGTAGATCCCAAAGGGATACCGTGTTCTTGACACCTAAACTCTGCCATCACTTTTAAAAAGCTGGCCATTGTCATAAAAATAATCCAGATCACGTCATCAGTGACCACGTGCTCCGTAAGTGATTCACGGGCCCTATTCTTTCCAACCCTAGAAGCCCAGTGACGTTTTCATATTGTTCATCCACCGGCCTTCCTGTACAGTCACCCTTGATTGTTCCGTTTCCCTTGTCCTCTAATTAGTCCATCATAAAGCTCATGGTTTTTAATCTAGAATCTCTCTACTTCCTTCCCTCTCCACTGCCATTTTCCAAAGTCAAGACAGTTAGCTTTACTCAGACAATAAAGAATAGTAACTTGCCCTTTCCCATCTACTCTCCACATGGCATCCAACAAGTACGCGCTTGATCCCCAAACAGCTCATAGATAAAATCGAAATTCCTAACTATAGCCTCCAAGACTTGCTCCAGCCGCACTGGCCAAACTTGACTCAAAGGCCAAGCTCTTTCCTTCTCTCCAGCCTTTGCATTTATCCTTCCTTCCATTTAGAATATCTTTCCCTCACCTTTGCGAACTCCTTCATCTCCTTCAGCTGTAGATCAAATAAATGTTCTTCCTCACAGGAATCTTCCTGGAACGTCTCCACTTCTTCCCACCTATTGTGTAAATTGCAAATTACCTCCACAACTCTATTCATACTTGTTATTTGTTTGCTTGTTTGGTGCCTATCTACCCACTAGAATTAAGCCCCATGAAAGTAAAAGGACCTATTGTTTTATTCACCCTTGTTATCCCAGTACCTGAAACAGTACCCGGAGCACAACGATTGTCTACTAAATATAGGCTGGTAACCTCTGGCTAGAATCATGCTTAGGATGGCAAGGAAAAGGGAGGAATACGGCTTGTTCTTCTCACTGGCACAAGATAGTTTAGCATCATGGGTGGAGCTATTGCCCATCTTATGAGATGATGCTCTGTGGGATGGCAAAGAGTCTTTTGCTAGGAGATAATTCCATTATATGTAGGGAATTGAGAGAAAAATGAACTTCAATATACAGAAATTCATTTTGCCACTTCTTTTTTCAGAATACATTTAATCTTAATATTTTTCAATGTCAAATGATACAGCATCTACTACATGTAGGCTCCATGATATACTAGTGGACATATGTACCGTTCACCTGATCTCATGAAAATAAACTTAAGTCAATCACAGAAAACATCAAAGGGGAAAAAATCATCTAAAATGTTGTCTACACTAGATTTTTAAACATGAAGATCAAAGTACATTCTCAAGAATGGGTTTTATTTTATTTTTTATTACCGTGTCCTTTGGAAAGGAACCTCCAGTAGACTCTGTGTTTCAACAGTTTCTCTTTCACATGGTAAAGGAGTTACCCAAATATTTAAAATATTAACAGTTTGTTAATCCAATATTATAATTGTAATATAAACAATTTGTAATTCCTGAAATTCGAAACTAGTCTAATTTATAGGCTTAAAATGATTTTATACACATGTCTTTTTTCAAAGTCAACTGCCAAACAAATGGTAGCTGGGATGAGAACTCCATTTTCATCACGAAACTGCACATCCATCATCCGTGAGGGGACCATAAATTATGCATTCAGGGGAAATTCCTCTCCCTGGGCCTGCTGGGGGAATCCAAGAAAAGCAGTAGGAAAAATGACTTACTACCTCTGAACGCGACCTGAAACGTGCACAGATCCTTCATCGCGAGACAGAGGAGCTGGTAGGATGCGTGATTAGCCGCCAAGTCCAAATGAACTTCCAGGAGTGAGAAAGAGGAGACAGAAGTGGAGAATGAACCCCCTACTTCACTTTTCCCCTAATCAAAAATACCTCTAGAAACCTAATTTGTACTCTTCAACATACAACTATTTTTTTTCATTTATCTTTGTTTTTAAAAGTATTGCAGATGTCCCCCAAAATACAACTAACTGACATATCAGGGTCTTCGCAGCCACAGCGCAGAAAGCGCTCAGGTGTTGCCGTGTCTTCCACATACGGTTCCTGGCAAAAGCACGTGTTTGTGTAGTAAGTGCCAAATGCATGAAAAAATTAATCAACTCTGCGATGATTAGCCCAGATTGTATCACATGTTGTCCAGATGATAAATAAAATGCTAGCGAACGGGGATAAGGGGATGGGTGCTTTCTAACGTGCCTAGGATATTCCTTCCCTGCAATGAGCTGAAGCTTGAGTCAAAAGGGCCACTTGTCATCTCTGAACAGAACCGGCATCACAGAAAGTGTTGTAAGTTATTTTTCTGCAACATTGACGTATTAATACCTATTTCATAGGATAGTCATCTCAGTGACACTAGACACTGTATGTCAAGGGGCTGGGGCTCAGACGTGTCCTATAAATGTTTCTAGATTGAATACAAGTGGGACAAAGGGTAGATGTGCTTTTTCATGTCACCCCAGAGAGGACATGGAACTGATGTTACAGTGTGAAAACAAGGGGAAGGATGAGTAGAAATTTGGGTAATATGGACAATAGGTTAGAGACCAGGTTCGGAAATCTAAACTCGTGTGACCTTGGGAAAATAACTTGACATCTGTGAACTTCAGTCTTCTCATCTGTAAACTGGAAATAACATTACTTGCTCAGTGTTTAATGAACTTAATAAAAACAAAATGCTTAGAATAGGTCTGACATGTTTAAAAAAGCACCCAATAAATGTTAGTTATTATGATATTATCACTATGTATAATTACTATTAGCGAGGACTCGCCAACAGCATACTTATTTGGGATGTTTGGGGAGACCGTGAGCTCTCATCATTAGTAGCATTTAATTAGAACCTGGAAAACTGCCGTTTAAGAAAGCCCAGCCAGTGTGGCTCAGTGGTTGAGCATCGACCCATGCACCAAGAGGTCACCAGTTTGATTCCCAGTCAGGGCACATGAGCAGGTGGTGGGCTGGATCCCCAGTGCGGGGCATGCAGGAGGCCGCCAATTGCTCTTCTCTCTCGTCTAAGTTTCTATCTCTCTCTCCCTCTAAAATCAATTTTAAAAAAAATAAGAAAGTCATGCCTTGTCTAGAAGGTTGCTAAGACCCACACACCTCTTGATTCTAGTTATAACTGGGAGCCAAATTCTTACCTGCTGCACAATGCAGGACTTTCAGAAAGGCCTCCCACTTTAAATTCTCAGCAGAGTCAAGTCATAAAATGGCACTTATTTCTCTGGTCCATTTCTTGGCAGGCAGGTCTTTTAGCATCCTGTAACTACTCCCAAAGCCTCTGCAGCATCTCAGAGCATTTCCCATCACTGTGCCTCCTAATAAAGTGCAAGACAGATTGGTAGCCAGGGGAGAGAAGGGTCTTGTGTTACATTTTGTGCTCCTTTAACCAGTCCATCTGTGATTTACAACTCAACAGAGGAACAGGGCTATAATTCAGGGGCGAGTGAGCTGGATGAGTAAAATTGTGGAGAATGAAATCAGAAGTACCACACAGCAGCTGTGTACACTAGAGACGCTTGGCAATGTTGTTTGCCGGAAGCAGAAGCTAAGAAAACAAGGGCTTGCAGCAGAGGAGAGGATGTGAGCACGGGACTGAGCGTGTGTAAACAGACCGGGGAAAGGCAAGGGTGCACAACCAGTTTTGCCTGTTAGACCTAAAACCATGCTGCAGACTGTCTGGACCTCCTATGAAATTTAGCCTATGAAATGAATTCTGATTTGGCGGTACGGGGCGGGGGGAACCTCAATAGATATTTTTTGTAGGTCATAAAACCTTCCTCTCAAATTTTAAGTTTATATACTTCTTTTTCAAAACTAGAATCTCCCAGATCTCAACTCTTGGGGGAAGATATAGCAATGTTAATGTTTTCAAAAAAACATTTTGTTAAATGTTTTATTCTTGAATTGTTATTCTAGAGGTGCTCATGTGTCTTCTTAGCTTTTTCTGTAAGAATGCAACTTCAACTTTTTTTTAAGCCAGAAAAATCTAAGGGAAAAATTATATCTTAACTGAGAAGATGATATATATTTTTAATTAAGCTGTTTGTCCAAATAAATGAAAGTAAAAACATGCTTTGCTTGACGCTAGCTGGTTTATCCTAATTACAGTCAGGCAGGGTACATCTCAGATTTAAATAAAATAGAGGCTCAAAAATATAATGCATCGTTTTAGTTCTATGGTTAAATATCTGCTGGGAACACACACAACACACAGAATTTAATGGTAAAAAATATGGGCTTAACTTCCTATGATAAAGGAAAAGCATCTGAGAGGAATCTTGGGGCTAGAAAGAAGAGACACTTGGTCCTTCCTGTCCAGAACAGGTCATTGTCAATTCATTGTGGGATGTTCAGATTCAGCCTCTGAATTCTTTAAGTAGCATTTTGGTGGTAGCCAAACTCCACCTAGTGATGCACCACTTTCATTGGATGAGAATCAGGAAACCAAATTTAAATCTCCAACTATGCTCCATAACCATCCACCATCCATATCTAATAGAAATTACATCTGTCCTGAAAAAAATGATGTGTCAATCATTCTAAGAATGTTTGCATCACTTTATTTTGTTCAGTCATGATTTGAACTCAACTAGATAGGAAACCACTCAAATATTACTGAAATAACAGATTGATGAAGAAAGACTTTCAGGGAATAGAAACATAGGATGGAAAGCCTCTTCTGTACGGATTTGTTGGCTGTCCTCAGTCTTCACTTCTCAAGTTTCATCTACACTGCTATGTCTTCACTGAGAAAATCCTTTTCCAACACTTGCTATGCACTAGTCACTCAACTTCTTCAAGTTCAACACGTGTCCTTAATTCAACAAAATCCAGGTTCAAGGAGTCATGGAAGAGAAGAGAATGCAAATAACTAAGACAGAGCAATTAAGTGATACCTTTAGCCCAGAAAAGAACAGGTATGTTCAGTGGAAGTCAGTCTTGGCGTTTTGATTGAATCCTGCACATGATGATGGAAACCTAATTCCCCACCCCAGCCCTATTTGAAGTTGAACAGAAAGATGGGCAACCACCTAGGGGTGGAACTCTGAGAAGAGGAACAAAGGGGCTAAATGATCCAAGTGGCCATGGAGGAAAAAGGGAGAAAGAAGTTGGAACATTCCAGAAGAAGGATTCCTCTATTGGCCATGGGGAAAGGGTGGTCAGGTAAGGAGGCCCTGAGAGCCCATGTTACATGACCCAGACCCATTGAAGAGTGGGGTTGGGCAAGTTGAAGAGCATATAGGGCCCATCCTCATCATAGCTTTTGTATAAATTGGAAGATAGGATCTGAATTTGAAATAAATGACTACATTATGTATTTTTTATATGCCATATATGTACTTAATCAGAAAATATAAAGTTGCTTAATAATGAAAGAGAGAGGTAATTAAGCCCTTTGTAAAGTAAAAACCTGAGAGCTTTTCATTCATTCAATCAATCAGTAATGATTAATTTGTGGAAAGTTCCAGAAACAGTAGGAACGCTGACTCTTACCCTTCCCTCATCTTTCAAAAGCTCTAAAATTCTTCAACACAAGAAAGCATGGAAAAGAAAAGAGTCAGAAGCCCTGTCACTTCTGAGTGTTGGGTGAAACAACCTCATCTCTCAGGCATTGAAGTGGGCGAAATGAGGGATGAGAGAAGCCAGGGATCGAAGCGAAGATGTGGCACTTTTCTGCCTGATCTAGTCACCCTCACACTGCACATAACCACCAGGAACATCAAATGACAACTTCCCTAACCATCTCTCATGTGACAATTGACCTGAGAACAATAAAGTAGAAAAATATAAAACAATTTGTTTAAAACTACTTCTTACTTTCCTTTATTCATGAGTTTTACTTAACATTTTTGCCTAATCATCACATAGCCTCAAAATTTAGTCGACTAATAATAGCTTATGACTGAATATGCTTATAATTTGCTAAAGGCTTTCAGAAAGAGCTCATCCTTTTGATCTTCAGAACTGTGGAAGTTAGCTGTTATTGCTGTTTCAGCCTGATTGATGTGGGCCTGAGGTTCAGAGAGGTTGAGAGATTTGTTTGAGAGAACGCAGAGTTGTGCATTCACCAGTTTTAAGTTGTGTACTTTCCCCATTCCCGTGCTCCTCCACTAAATGGGTATTAAATTGCATAGAATCACAGCACTAGCACCCACCTTTGCATACTCAATCCTTCTGTCTTGCACTCATGCCATGCAGCCTGATATTCTGTAAAGAATGGAAAAATATGAGAGGAAGTGTTTATTTTTTTTATCCTCACCCAATCACATTTTGCATTTATCTTCAGATAGAGCAGGAGAGAGAAAGGAAGGAAGAGAAAGAGAATCATCGACATGAGAGAGACACATCAAGTGGTTGCCACCCACACGACCCCAACCAGGGCCAGGGACAAACTGCAATTGAGGTACATGCCCTTAGCAGGGACCGAACCCGTGCCTCTCTGGTCTGTGGGCCAACACTCTAACCGCTGAGCCAAACTCTAACTGCTGAGCCAAACTGGCCAGGGTAAGAGAGTAAGTGTTTAAAAAGAGCAGGAGAGGACGGTGATAAAGATCTAAACTTGGGTGTCAAGCTGATCTAAAATCACATTCTGACTCTGACACTTACCAACTCTTGATGTTGGACAAGTTAGTAAACTTCTCTCAGTCTGAAAATCCTTCTCTCTAAGATATACCAACAACAGAGCCTGCTTCATAATGTTGTTATGAGGATAAACATTTTAAGCATGCAAATAACATGCATGTATTATCTATAGTATCTCTCTGCCAGGCTCTGTGCTAACAGGGAGAACAGCACATGGAAGTCCTGGAAGCAGCATCAGTAGCAGTAGTGATACTAGCAATAGCAATAGTTCCAGCAGCAACATTGAAAAAGTAATAGTGTAACACTGGCAGTAGCAGTTTCACAGGAGGAGGAGTCATCATGCTCATAATAGTAGTAATAGGAGTTGTCTGTGGATCACACTTGATCTCTCAACCAAGTGACATGGCAAGGCAAAGGAGGTGATTGTCCATCAATAAACATTAGCAAACAGCAACAGAGGAGAACATTTCTCTAGGTATTATATGTTTGAAGTTACCACTGAGATCACCTAATCAGAACAGATTTCAGCAAAAGTAAGACATAGCTCTAATTTTTGATAACCAGAAGCCACTAATGAACCAAGAAAGACCCACATAGTCACTGGATTCTACTCATGGAAATTGTCAGCAGCAGCAGCAAAAGACAACTTGTCCAGGGCACATTAGCTCTTGTGACCCAGACATCTTCCCCTTTTTGTGTGGGGAAGCAGCAGGCTACTCTCCAGCCCAACCAGTGCAGGTGACAACTATTGTTTCAAGCTCCATTTTCTCTGGAAAACTTTCTGAAAGCAAGTGAGACCAAATAAACTTTCTTTACTGAGAAGAAAATTTAAAAAATACATTTAGCTAAGATCTGGAAACAGCCCAAGTGCCCATCAGTAGATGAATGGATAAAAAAAAGCTGTGGTATATTTATACAATGGAATACTATGCAGCAATAAGAAAGAAAGATCTCTTACCCTTCAAGATGACATGGAGGGACCTAGAGAGTATTATGCTGAGCAATATAAACCAGTCAGAGAAAGACAAGTACCACATGCTCTCACTTATTTATTAAATATAATGAACAAAATAAGCTAACAATCAAAATAGATCCAGAGACATGGGAGTAGGGAACAGACTGACAAACCTCAAAGGGAAGGGGGAAGTGAGGGTGGGAAGAGATAAATCAAAGAACTTAGGTGCATCTCAGATCACAATGGCATAAAACTAGAAATCAATAGCAACAAGAACATGCAAAGACATTTGAACACATGGAGGCTAAATAGCATGTTATTAAACAATGAATGGGTTACTGAGGAAATCAAGGAAGAAATTAAAAACTTCCTGGAAACCAATGAAAATGAACACACAACAACACAAAATCTATGGGATACAGCAAAAGCAGTTCTGAGAGGGAAGTTCATAGCACTACAGGCCTACCTCAAGAAACAAGAAAATTTCTAATAGACTATCTAACCTCACAACTTAAAGAATTAGAAAGCAAACAAAAAGAAAACCCCAGAGCAAGTAGAAACAAGGAAATAGTAAAGATCAGAGCACAAATAAATGACATAGAGACCAAAAAAAAAAAAACCAATTCAAAGGATCAATGAAACAAGGAGATGGTTTTTCAAAAAGATAAACAAGATTGATGGACCCTTAGCTAGACTCACCAAGAAACAAAGAGAGAGAACCCAAATACACAAAATCAGAAATGAAAGAGGAGAAGTAACAACCGACACCACAGAAATACAAAAGATTGTTAACAGCTACTATGAACAACTATATGGCAACAAATTCAACAATCTAAATGAAATGGACAAATTTCTAGAAACACAGAGTCTCCTAAAACTAGACCGGGAAGAGATAGAAAACTTAAACAGACCAATAACAACTAAGGAAATTGAAGAGGTAATCAAGACTCTCCCAGCAAACAAAAGCCCAGGCCCAGATGGCTTCACGGGGGAGTTTTACGGAACATTCAAAAAAGAACTAACACCCATTCTCCTCAAACTATTTCAAAAAATTCAAGAACAAGGAAGACTTCCAAACTCGTTCCATGAGGCCAGCATAATTCTAATTCCAAAACCAGAAAAAGACGCTACAAAGAAAGAAAACTACAGGCCAATATCCCTAATGAACATAGACGCCAAAATCCTGAACAAAATACTAGCAAATTGGATCCAGCAATACATCAAAAAAAATTATTCACCATGACCAAGTGGGATTCATCCCACGGATGCAAGGCTGGTACGATATTCGCAAATCAATAAATGTGATACACCGCATAAACAAAATGAAGAATAAAAACCACGTGATCATATCAATAGATGCTGGAAAAGCATTCGACAAAATCTAGCATCCATTTCTGATAAAAACGCTTAGCAATGTGGGAATAGAGGGATCATATCTCGTCATAATAAAGGCCATATATGAAAGACCTACAGCCAACATCATACTCAATGGGCAGAAACTAAAAACATTTCCATTAAGAACAGGAACAAGACAGGGATGTCCACTTTCGTCACTCTTATTTAACATAGTACTAGAAGTCTTAGCCACAGCAATCAGACATGAAGAAAAAATAAAAAGGATCCAAATTGGAAAGCAGAAAGTGAAACTGTCATTATTTGCAGATGACATGATATTATACATAGAAAACCCTAAAGGCTCCATCAAAAATCTACTAGACTTAATAAATGAATTTGGCAAAGTAGCAGGATACAAAATTAACGTCAAGAAATCAACGGCATTTGTATACACCAATGATGAACTCACAGAAAGAGAAACTGAAAAAACAATCCCATTTACCATCGCAGCAAAAAAATTAAGATACCTAGGAATAAACTTAACCAATGAAGTAAAGGACCTATTTGCAGAAAACTACAGGACATTGAAAAAAGAAATAGAGGAAGATATAAAAAAGTGGAAGCACATACCTTGTTCATGGATTGGAAGAATTAACATCATTAAAATGTCCATACTACCCAAAGCAATCTAGAGATTCAATGCAATCCCCATCAAAATACCAACGACATATTTCACAGAACTAGAACAAATACTTCAAAAGATCATATGAAACAAAAAAGTCCCCCAATAGCCACAGCAATTTTGAAAAAAAAGGACAAAGTAGGTGGGATCACAATACCAGATATCAGGTTTTACTACAAAGCGACTGTAATCAAAACAACCTGGTACTGGCACAAGAACAGGCATATAGACCAGTAGAATAGAACAGAGAACCCAGAAATGAACCCAAGACAATATGCTCAATTAATATTTGACAAAGTGGGCAAGAACATACAGTGGAGTAAAGACAGCCTCTTTAATAAATGGTGTTGGGAAAATTGGACAGGTACATGCAAAAAAATAAAACTAGACCATCAACTTACACCACACACAAAAATAAACTCAAAATGGATAAAAGACTTAAATCTGACCCATGAATCCATAAAAATTCTAGAAAAAAAATGTAGGCATCAAAATTTCGGACATCATATGCAGCAGATTTTCACTGATACATCACCTAAAGCAACAGAAACAGAGGAAAAAATGAACACATGGGACTAAATCAGACTAAAAAGCTTCTGCACAGCAAAAGAAACAATCATCAAAATGGAAAGGCAACCCACTGTATGGGAAAACATCATTGCCAATGATATATCAGTTGAGGGGTTAATTTCCAATATATATAGAGTGCTCATACAACTCAACAAAAGGAAGACAAAGAACCCAATTAAAAAATGGGCCGAGGAGCTGAATAGACACCTCTCCAAACAGGACATACAAATGGCCAAGAGACATATGAAGAAATGCTCAATGTCACTAATCATCAGAGAGATGCAAATTAAAACAACAATGAGGTATCACCTCACACCTGTCAGAATGACTGCCATCAACAAATCATCAAACAAGTGTTGACGAGGGTGTGGAGAAAAGGGGACTCTAGTACACTGCTGGTGGGAATGCAGACTGGTGCAACCACTATGGAAAACAATATGGTGTTACCTTAAAAAATTAAATATTGAACTTCCATTTGACCCAGTGATCTCGCTTCTAGGAATATACCCTAAGAAGCCTAAAACACCAATCAGGAAGAATATATGTACCCCCATGTTCATAGCAGCACTATTTACAATAGCTAAGATCTGGAAACAGCCCAAGTGTCCATCAGTAGATGAATGGATAAAAAGCAGTGGTACATATACACAATGGAGTACTATGCAGCTGTAAGAAAGAAAGATCTCTTATCCTTTGAGACGACATGGAGGGACCTGGAAAATATTATCTTAAGTGAAATAAGCCAAGCAGAAAAAGACAAATACCACATGATCTCACTTATATACAGAATATAATGAACATAACAGTCTGAGGAATATGGTAGATCCAGAAACATGGAAGTAGGGCACAGACTGACATCCCTCAGAAGAGGGGGTAGGGGGATGGGGAGAGATAAACCACAGAACTTGGACAACAAAGTCGGGGATGGGGCGGGAGGGGAATGGGGAGGACGGTGTCAATGGGGTAAAAAAGGAGAAACATCTGTAACAAAAATAAAATTAAAAATTAAAAAAAAAAAAAGAACTTAGGTGCATAACCAATGGACACAGACAATAATGTGGGGAAGGCAGGAGAAGGTTGGGAGTGG